ACTTGGCTCTTGGGTGTTGTGTGATATGTCGAAGAAAGAACATCAGTCGAAGGATTTATAGTGGTTCACCAGCTCGGAAGATTGGCTAATCTACTCTAATATAGTTTCTTACTCCTTGGGGAACTTTTGATTAATTGAGAGGGGAGATTACACAAGGTAAAGATGTAGGTATAATTCCTTGATTATAATGGAGGGATTTGATCCCTATTTATAACATGTAGATGTTGTGAGTGATCCCCGCTATTTTCTTGTAGCGGTGGTGAAATTAACGCTAGTGGAGTTGTAACGACTACGACTTTTCTGTCGGACTATTGGTTTGTTGCGAGTTACATGGGCCCTTCTAGAAGTTCTAGTTGTCATTTCCCTCATGCCTATGAGGAATCTGCTTGCTAAAGAGTCTCAACCTGCTCACCTCGTAGGTTGGAAACAACCTGAGTGGCCTGAACTGAATAACCTGAGTTGGATACCTGAGCTCAACCTTAGCCTTATTCCAGGTATCATCAATAACCATTGTAGATTGGATGGACTCCAATCCTCACGCCAAAACTCTAATCCTAAAGTTAGTAGATTAAATTAGTTATAATCATTATCAGAAACGTTATCTTTTTCATCTCCCTTAAAAGTATGAAAGAAAATATGGAACATCATTTTCTTTAATATGTTTTTCCTTTTTTTTTTGAATTAGATCGTTAATTTATTTATTGAGAAAAAAATAGAGGGGATATGGAACCTAAAATAGTGGTAATGTGTATAATTCATGTGAAGAATTTAAAATTTGTCATCTCCCGATCTTTTTTGATTTAGTTAATAAAAGGAAAGTATAATTTGATACAATTTTATGTAAAATTTACATAATACTTTTAGTGCTCGTTTGATTGCCGTATTATAAAAGAATGGATTGTATTAGTTAATACAGGCTAATTTCGTATAGGTGGATAAAATATATGGTTAAATATGTGACAAAAATATTACGCACTATAATCCAGTGTTTGGTAAGACACTGAATTATGTTTTCATGTCAGTGATTATGATTCAACTCTTTTTCTATGATCCATTTCCACTAGTTTTATTATTGTCTTGCTTTATGTTGCTGATATAATTATTACGTGCGATGACATTGTTGGTATACAACTATTGCAAACTTAGATGTATGACCATTTTGAGAAAAAAGATTTGGGGTCATTCTGGTACTTCTTAGGGATTGAAGTTGCTTCATTTCCCAAGGGTTATCTCCTTTTCCAATCCAAGTATACACCAGATGTTATTCATCATAATCATTTATCAGATAAACGGACAATTGAGACACCCCTAGAGCTCAATGTTCGTTATTCTGCTTCTGATGGTACTCCCTTACCTGATCCTACCCTCTACCATATTATTGTTGGGAGCTTGGTATATTTGACAGTTACTTGCCTAGATATTTTTTATGTTGTCCATATTGTTAATCAATTTGTTGCTTCTCCCTACTACTATTCACTGGGATGCTGTTATACACATTCTTCGATATCTTTGAGGTACCTTACATCAGAGTCAATTATTTTCTTCATTTTCTTCTATAGAACTCCGGGCTTATTCAGATGCTGACTAGACTGATGACTCTATGGACCACAAGTCCATTACTAGTTTTTACCTTTTCCTTGGTGATTCTCTCATTTCTTGGAAGAGCAAAAGGCAAACTGTTGTTGCTCGTTCTTCAGTTGAAGCTGAATACCGCGCTATGACATCCACCACCGCTGAGATAGTTTGGTTACAGTGGTTACTTGGTGATCTTGGGATCTCTTTACCTGTTTCTACTCTGATGTATTGTAACAACATCGGTACTATTCAGATTGCTCACAACTCGGTCTTTCATGAGCATTCAAAACATATTAAGATTATCTGTTACTTTGTGTGCTACCATCTTTAGCTAGGCAGTATATCTTTCCCCTTTCTTCCTTCTACCATGAAGCTAGTGAATTTTTTTACCAAATCTCACACCATTGCACACTTCCGTTTTATTTTTGGCAAACTCCTGATAATCTCGGTTGTGATATCATGAGTTTGAGGAGGAATGTTAGAATATTTAGCATATTATATTAGTATTATGGGTAGTTTAGTGATTTTGCTTAATTTATGTTGCCCTACTATATAAAGGATCTCTACTATGTATCTTAATTAATTAAATTGTAATGCAAACTAATGAGCCGTAATATCATTTTCTCTTGTTTCTCTTTTCTTATAGTTTGATGATATTTAACAGAATATTCATTCAAGAAAGCCTAACTCTTTGTAACTCTATTGCAAAACACATGCTCAATGAGTCGTATTGAAAGAAATGAGAGAAATCTTTAGCTGAAATCCTCCACCGTGACAATTTCTTACAATTTCCTCATCTTCAATATGGTTTGGTCTCCACCTAACTTCACCGATGATGTGAACGGAGAAAGAGAAAGAAAGAGAGATTTGCAGAAAGAGAGAAACAAATAATGGTGGATAAATGTGGTGTGGGATGAAGGAGAAAATATTTAGAGAGATAGAAAAAAAAAATGGTGATGGAGAGATGAAGATTTACAAAGAGAGAAATAAATAGTGATATAGGGTTGGGTTTCAAATTTTAAAGTTTTCTGAAATTTGTGAAGATGTAAAAGAATACAGTTAGCTGTATTCTTGAAGTTTGCTCCGTTAATGCAGTTACCTTTCCATCAATAAGCCCAAACTGGTGGATGACTTGACTTCTCTGAAAATATTTCTAACAAAATGATGATGGGGAAACAATTTATTAGCTGTGCATGTGTGCTACTCATATAAAAATATCTAAATGATGAACTTTGCAAGTTTTCGCTTCTGATTTGACCAATACAGAACACAAGGTACAACCAAGTCCTAACCTTACCCGCGTGAATGAAATTCATATCTCCTTCGTCTGGTCAAGAAGGGAGAAAGCCCGGGAAACTAGATTGTGACTCTTCTATTACATTACGGAGAAGTCAATTCTTGTCATGATTAATCCACGTCCTACCGTAGTGCAAGAGAAACCCACGTCTTTTTGGCAGACCCACTAGAACCCTACTTGGGTCATCTCATTCTTTAGTTATCAAGTTCTAAGGGTGTCCATGGGCAGTCCGGCTAGGCCTGCGAAATTTTTTTTAGACCGAGCCTGGGTAGTGAAAGCCCAAGCCCTTATCCAAGTAAGTTATTGGGTGGGTCGGGCTTCAAGTAATGGTAGGCTACCCACAGTCTAATCCGTGAGCCTATTGGGCGGGCCTTCTAGGCAGGCTTGCTAGGTGGGCTTGCTCGCAGACTTTTATATATATAACTTCATTTAAAAATAATAAATATTTGTAACTTAATATTTGTGTAAATTATATTTTTGAATCAAAAGTAGAGTCAAAATGAATAAAAATAAAATAATGAATAATTTTATTTTAATTAGAGGATAAACTACATCCAATAGAATGAATACATCCAAATTAGGTTGACACTTACTCACTTATCTATCATTTGTATTACTCTACATTTTAAAACTTGTATGCTTAATACATGAAAAGAAAATACATTATTTATAGACTTATTTTAATGTTTTAAATTTAATGATCTAAAGGCTAAATTTCACTTTGCACCCTGAAAGATTGTTAAATTCTCAATTTACACCCTGAAAGATAAAAATTTTTACAGTGCACCCTAAAAGAAATAAAATGGTAGCAATTAAGTCCAACACCTAACCGCCATTCAATTTGCCGTTTGTTTTTTCTCACGTGCAAAACACGTGATAACTCAGAAGGAAAAACCTGTAAATGAACCATTTTGGCGCTCAAATGTAGAGATTTGTGGTTGTCTTCTACATTTAAGGTCACAAATATTCACTATAGGTAGAGATTTGTGACCTAGGGCAAGAAAAATAGAGAAAAATTGGGAGGTGGAAGAAGAGGGGAAAATGCAAGCATTATGTTACTGTGGTCGTAGAGCTGTAACGAAGATCTCTTGGACGAATTTAAACCCTGGAAGAAGGATTAGTAGTTGTGCAAAAAATGAGGTATTTCATTAAATGAGTTTCCCATAAAAGTTTTTTTGTTTCCCTTTTTGTTCATAAGATTTTTGGATTGTAATCAGTTGATCAAGTACAGATCCATATGCGTGAAAGATTTGTTGATTTTATATGTGATTTTTGTATTTAAAATTTCTATTTTTCTAATAAAGATTGAACAAGAATTTTTTTTTTTACAACAAACCAAAGTTAAAATGGTAGTATAATTCTCTATGTATTGTGTGATATTCTAATTTTTTTATCAATTATAAAATCATAGGTTGGTGGTCCATGTGGTTACTTTCTATAGATCGACTCCCTGATGTGTAACCGATCGCGCCAAATTATACCCGAATTGTTGCGTCGTGTTACAAGTTTAAAAGAATAGTTGGAGAGAAGTAGAGCAAAGGGGTAGAATGTTTTGGTTCTGCCTTGTTGGTTCCTGGTTTGTCATGGTGGTTGTGTATTGCTACATGGGTGATTATGAACACACTCCAGATGGACAGGTTTCAAATGGAGACATAACAAGGTTGGAGCTGTTGTGAATGTCTATTGGTTCAAACCTGTTTTGTGATCAAGTTGAAGCTATTTTGTATCAAATCTACCGTTGGATAATGCATATTTTGGAAGCCAATGTGATAAAGTTGGAGTTATTTTGTATCAAATCTACCAGTGGATTATGTATTATGCCATGCAAACTAGATTTTGTATATGGATTGTGTTGGTTCAAACATAGTTGCAGTTGCAGTTGAATTCAGATACATCCCTTTTCTTAATAACACAATAACACTCAGACAAAAAAGTATATCCACTTTGCATTAACTTCATGCAAAAATAGTTGCAATTAGATACACCCCCATAACAAAAACTAACTGTGTAGTTGCAACATATCAACTAAGAGAGCTACAGTGAGATACAAAAAGTGATTGCTAAGTTTTACCCCTATTAACTAATTCCAAAATTCATTAACAATACATCCCAAAAATCACAAAAGGTCCTAGAGTTTCACTGTGTCCCCACTACATTGTTTGTCTTCCTCACTTTCTTGGATGAGTTGGAGTGTTGTGTAGGAGTTGGTGCAAACTTGGTTTGCTTGGGTAGGATAGGTTGTGTTGCACCAAATTGGGGTGGCATCCACACAGGTGGTGTTGAAGTTTTTTTTGGTGGCCTCTAAGCAGGTTGTGATAAAGAAGTATGTGGTTGAGTAGCTTGGGGGTTGGCTAGTTGAGGCACATGATGTATTTCTTTTCCTTCTAATCTGTTAAAAAATAAATAAATAAATATTAGTTAAATTTTGTAACTATTAATTGAAATAAGGTGATTCATGTCTTACAGGTAACTCTTGTTTGTCCTTTATAGATTTATATTGAGTAGCATCGAGGCTTGAATTTGAACCACTTTGTGATGCATTTTCTATAGCTGCCACCTGACCATGAAATGTACAAAGGTTAATGTTAATAAAAATCAACCAATTGCAGATAAAAAACACTTATTGGTAAAATATTTGCATGATCTGTAGGGGTTGTTTCTACACAACTTGATGTATCTACGCCACTGGATGCTGTGACCACCTTGCACTTCCTCTTCTTGTGACCAGCTTGACCACAAGTTCCACATATGATTGCTTTGTATTTCTTTCTCAACTTCACACCTTTGGCAGGCTCATCATTCTCTCTCCTTCTTGCCTTCTTGGGCCTACCAGGTCTTATGGTTTGATTAGGGGGAATGAGATTGGCATAACTTGCTTTGGGCCACAATTCCTTCCCATTAATAGGACTCATCTGTTGACTGTAACAATTGAGGAATGTTTCAACCTTGTACCAATCAGCCATATGATCCTTTGCTGACAAACCTAAGTAGTTGAGGGCAGACACACCATGTTTACAGGAGATTCTTGTTAAGTCCCACTTCCTACAACTACAAGTCCTATCTTTTATGTTGACTGTTGCTTTGTCTCCACTCATCCCAACAAATTCAAACCTTCCATCCCCATTCCATGTAGGAATGAAAGCTGCTGACTCCATTTTAATGGCTTCTAATCTCTTTTGAATCCTAGGACAAATGGATCATTTATATTTCTTAATTGAATCTCTCTGTCCATGTATTCTTTCCATAAGCCAAACTCTTATATTTCCAGGCATTCTTAAGATAGGTTTGTCCCTAGCCTCTACAATACAAGAATTGAAGCTCTCACACAAATTATTGAGTAGCATGTCACATTTGGGCAATATACTAAAATGGGACCTAGACCAATTTGTTGGTGGCCTTTCACACAACCATTAATAGGCAAATTTATCAACACTTCGTAACTCCTCCATAATATTGCTAAAGTCAACAATTCTTGAAGACTTAGTAGCCCTCCACAATAAGTCCTTCAAAACTAAGCCCTTATGCTCAACTTTGAAGTTGTTATACAAGTGTCTCACACATAACCTATGTTTTGAATTTGGAAAAAGAGTCTCAACTACATCAAGTATTCCCTACATAAACAATTGGAGGAGTAAATGCATAAAATAAACATCAAGTATAACATAAAATAAGTAACAAAAAATATTAGATAAAACTTGTCTTTTGCTTATCTGACATAAAAGTCCATGCATGACGATTATCTATACATAGATCCTGCTTCAACAATTGGGTGAGCCATGCCCAAGACTACCTTTTTTTCCTTCTCTACTACTGCATAAACAATTGGGTACATCTGATTGTTAGGGTCAATTCCAATAGCTGATGGTGGAACTTCAAATGACAGCCATCCAAACCAATTAATGGTCTGCAGCCCAGTTGTAACCCACTTTTTAGTGCCCCAAAACATATATGTATCCTCTTGAATCTTACTTGATCACCTCCTACTGCTTTGGTTTTGATAATACAGATAGTACCTGGATTGGTTCTCCTTAACTTTTCACAGTAATTCCATAACAACATGAACTGGTTTTTGTCTTTGACACTAACCCTTGTCCTTGCTGCAGCTTTGCCCCTATATACTTGGCTTTTACTTAAGGTCACAACATGTTCTTTCAATAGAGTTTGTTTAAGTGATTTCATTGGCCATGTAGGGTTGGATCTCAACCTTTCAACTTACGTATGTGCAAGCCACTTTGCATTGACATGCTTCACTTTGAAAGTTTTATTGCAATTGTGTTCACCATTAAAAGTTTTAACTTGCATTGTCTTCTCTCGTGCCATGCTGGAAGCATAAATCAACCAATCACACCCTTACCTACAAACTGCTCTTACTCTAAACTTCTTATTTTTAGTGATTCTTATTTTTTTCCCATTTTATTGCATGTTGCCTAACTGCAGCTCTAAATTCAGCAGCTGTTTTGAATAACATACCTAGCTTAAACTGTGGGTTAACCATATCAGACTGTGAATTAAACTGTGGATACTTCACCCTCTTTCTCTTATAATGTCCTCCTTCCTCGTCATCCGATGATGAACCACTAAGAGTTAATAACTCTTCACTGTCATAGTCTTCAGCATACAAATCATTATCAATATCCTCTGTTGTGCCTCTTTCACTATCAACACCTTTCCATTTGTCAATCCCTTTCCCCTTGTCTNGCATAAAATAAACATCAAGTATAACATAAAATAAGTAACAAAAAATATTAGATAAAACTTGTCTTTTGCTTATCTGACATAAAAGTCCATGCATGACGATTATCTATACATAGATCCTGCTTCAACAATTGGGTGAGCCATGCCCAAGACTACCTTTTTTTCCTTCTCTACTACTGCATAAACAATTGGGTACATCTGATTGTTAGGGTCAATTCCAATAGCTGATGGTGGAACTTCAAATGACAGCCATCCAAACCAATTAATGGTCTGCAGCCCAGTTGTAACCCACTTTTTAGTGCCCCAAAACATATATGTATCCTCTTGAATCTTACTTGATCACCTCCTACTGCTTTGGTTTTGATAATACAGATAGTACCTGGATTGGTTCTCCTTAACTTTTCACAGTAATTCCATAACAACATGAACTGGTTTTTGTCTTTGACACTAACCCTTGTCCTTGCTGCAGCTTTGCCCCTATATACTTGGCTTTTACTTAAGGTCACAACATGTTCTTTCAATAGAGTTTGTTTAAGTGATTTCATTGGCCATGTAGGGTTGGATCTCAACCTTTCAACTTACGTATGTGCAAGCCACTTTGCATTGACATGCTTCACTTTGAAAGTTTTATTGCAATTGTGTTCACCATTAAAAGTTTTAACTTGCATTGTCTTCTCTCGTGCCATGCTGGAAGCATAAATCAACCAATCACACCCTTACCTACAAACTGCTCTTACTCTAAACTTCTTATTTTTAGTGATTCTTATTTTTTTCCCATTTTATTGCATGTTGCCTAACTGCAGCTCTAAATTCAGCAGCTGTTTTGAATAACATACCTAGCTTAAACTGTGGGTTAACCATATCAGACTGTGAATTAAACTGTGGATACTTCACCCTCTTTCTCTTATAATGTCCTCCTTCCTCGTCATCCGATGATGAACCACTAAGAGTTAATAACTCTTCACTGTCATAGTCTTCAGCATACAAATCATTATCAATATCCTCTGTTGTGCCTCTTTCACTATCAACACCTTTCCATTTGTCAATCCCTTTCCCCTTGTCTTTACCAACAAATTCAACATCCTTATCAACAAATGTCTCATATAATTGATCATCAATTATGTCATACTCACTATCATAAAAAGATTCATAGTTTGATGAGTCACTATCATTCATATCCCCATCACCACTTGATTCTAGATGTTGTTCATGAAAATGGTCAGTCTCAACTCCAACTTCTTGTTGTATGGTACCACAGTTTGACTCAACCTGACTTTGCTTAATATGGTCAACATAAATATCAATGACTCTGTCCTTATCAACCCAATTGATCAAGTCCAAGACCTACACATCATTTTCTAACAATCTCCATCCATGCCAAGATCTATGATAGAATTTATTAATCTCAGAGGATCCTAATGATATCTCATCAGCATACAATCTCATAGTATCATTTAACATATTATCTGACTCAATCAATGAAATCTCATCAACATGACACATATCAATGTGATTGACCTTCCCACTAGTATATGCTTTATCACCCAAATGTTCTAATCTACCACCATGATGTAATCTGATAGTAAAATATTCAGAAGAATGATCTACATGTACCACCAAATGGCCAAGAAGCTACACATTGTTAATATGATATACCCCCACAATGTAAACACAATTGTCCCATAAAAAAGTAACAAAATAGCAACGCACACAAGCCTACATGCAGACAAAAACTGGTCCCCACAACACACCCGTAAACATCCAAACAATGAACCACACAATGCAAACACAATAGAAAAATAGTAATAAAATAACAAACACACAAACCCACATACAAAAATTGATCCCAACCATATACCCACAAACATACCAGAATGACGAATTTAACAACAGTTTACAAACACACAAACCCACTAGAATGAACCACATATTCCAAACACAATAGAAAAACAAACACAAAAAAAAAAAACAATTACCATAGCATAGTGCATCCCAATGAGTCTGTAAATCATTAGACCCCTCCTTCAACGACCACGACATTTTTTGTCCAGAAAAGCTAAGCTGGTACAAAATCAACCCACCAAGTTTGTAAATTGCTCGTAGAGAATATACACAACCTCTTTCTTTGACTATGAAGCCCTAGACGAGAATCATGCGGCCTCTTCATCTTTCTTTCTTTCTCAGAACTCTGAAAATGTGAAGGCAATGGTTATAGATGATCGGTTTCTTGAACCGAGGTGTTGTCATGTGCAAATCACATGTGAGATTACCTTGTTCATTTACAGGTTTGCCTTTCTGAGTTGTCACGTGTTTTACACGTGAGCAAAAACAGACGGCAAACTAAACGGTGATTAGGTGTTGGACCTAATTGTTATCATTTTATTTATTTTAGGGTGCAATGTGAAAATTTTTATCTTTCAAGGTGTAAATTAAAAATTTAGCAATCTTTTAGGGTGCAAAGTAAAATTTGCTCTAATATAAAATTATAATTTTTTCTTCAAAGGAAGTGCGAACGGGTTGTGTGGGCGGATTAGGCTTGGCGGACGGGTTTTTGGGCCGAATTTTAACGGATTTTTTTTAAACAGGTTATTGGGCCAAATTTTGGGCTGAGTAATGAATTTTAGAGCAAACTCAAGGCCCTTTTTTCAAAGATATTAGGCTGCAAGTCAGGCTCAAACCGGCCAACTATCTACTCTATTAAGTTTCAAGCCTATTTTTTTGAACCGGATAGTGGGCCTGTGAAAAATCCGGCCCATGGACAACCCTATCAAATGCTAATCGAATTTTTGCCCTTTTGGTTAATGACACCCCGATACAATCACGTAATAATATCAGCTAAATTGTTAAATAAACTAACAATAACAATTTCTGGGTTATATCAAATAACATGAAGATATCCCGACATTTCAAAAATAACACAAAGACCCCTGAAGTTTGGCACAAATAAACACCAACGCAGCTTCCACAATTTATCTCTCTCTCTCCTGCTATACTCCATTTTTCAACACGATGAATGAAAAAGGAGTCATTCCATTTACAAAATACCTTATTCAGAGTGGAGTTGATCCATAAGTTACAGGTATGCATTGGTGAGTCTTATCCCACTTCACACATTATTCAGCATTTAAGGGGATAACAAAGAGCCTACACACGTGATGGGAATAGACGATTGATTGAGAAATTTAGGCCAAATGTCTTTCATGAAGAACTAACCAATATCACAACTTAGAGTTTTGGTCAATCTGAGCAAACTGCTGCCTCAAAACCCTTCTCATTACCTTATTTGTTGCCGTTCTTGGTAGAGACGAGAGGGGTATGATATAAGAAACCTGCACAATTTAGCATTGATAAGTTGATATATACGTTTCGCATTAGGGGTGGTGAAACATACAAAGCCGTAGATTATACCTTAAACAGAGGATTTAGTTTTTTTTGCAATGCTGAGTTGAAAGACATTTTCAACTTATCCAAGTCTGTTGCTGAGCTATTTGAATCCTTGAAAACAACAGCAATCATCAAACTTTCAGGTCCTCCTCCAGGAGGCGGCACCCCAGTGGCAGCTGTCTCAAGAACGTTGTTATCAACTGCATTACAAATGCGTTCAATCTCCACTGAACTTACCTGTGCAAAGTGCATGAAGCAGTTAGAGAAATCTAAGCACAGAATCATTTCAACCAACATGAATTTGTCCATTTTATCCTCCTTCCTCGAGATTTCTCCCCTCAAGTGGAGCAAATTCAGTCATGAATTAATGTAGCAACCACATCACATGGCATTATCAGATCAGCAATTTCCAAGATACGACATACTTCTCAATGTACAGAGATGTCTTGCCATTTACATAGGGTTCTTATAAAATGTATAAAAGAAAGATTAAAAACTGAAAAGCAAATCAGACCTCTGAACGCACCATAGCTGCAGAAGATGCTAGAAAGTAAAAAATGATGCACTGTGAATCAATAGAGCCAATCCAAAATAATATAGGCAGTGCAGTGAAATCGAATGAAAACACTATGCAAATGCTGACGGAAGTTTCTTAATCATATCATGTCCTAGGTCACTGGTATTAAAATTGATACGCATGTGCACACTAATCCTACTTTCTTAAAAGACAAAAAACGACCTAATTATCAATTGCAAGTAACGCTTTTGATTCTTATACAATCTATTGCATAAGAACAAGTCAAATTGAATTTTCACTTTCCGAACTCCAAACCATGCATGCGCTGGCATTCACGCATGATGTGGAATTTCAACAAAAATATCTTTCCATGAACCTATTATGTGAGGCTGGATACAGACCTTGATACCCCCAAGATTCATTGTATCATCTGCACGACCATGCGCATGATAGTATCCTCTAGAAGTACGCTCAAACACATCTCCATGCCTTCGCAGAACCTGTTTGAGGAAAAATCAACGTTGTTAGTTAGCACCACATGCCAGTTTTGGAAGAAGAATTATCAGCTTACTGCTTACCTTTCCATTCCAAACAGGCATTCGTTTGAAGTAGACTTCATGGTGGTCAGCATTCAGTAGTGTGCTTGAAGCTCCAAACATGAGAGGACCAAGGGCCAATTCACCAGTCCCTGGAGTATTTGGTGGCTGAAGTAAAGAAAATGCACATTAGTTTGAACACTCCGGTGGCTGATAAATACATGTAAAGAATGCGAAATGATTGTATTCCTTAAAGAATGTGACAATAGCCAGTTTACTAGGCACGTTGATACTGCTATCTTAACAGTAAATCATAAGGGCTTGCCGAATACCATAACAATACATGGCGTCCGTACATTTTGACTCACCAACAGTAAGAAAGCACATCACTTTCTCTTTCAGAACTTTGTACGTGGAATTGTGTTCTTTATTAATAGGACGGCAGATTAAACAGAAAGAGGTTCACAAAGATATTCATGAAGTTCCTAGTCTACATGGATTAAATTGTGAGGTTGCTCCACAGTGCTTGTAGTTAATATAACTGAAAGAACTGCAAAACTGCGTGGTTAGATTGCACTCTAGCTACCGTTTGATCAGCAACTACTTTTCTTTCGTCAAGTTGGAAGGTTGAATGGTGCTTACTATAGGAATTCCATCCTCGCCAAGAATAAACAGAGTACATCCCATAGCAGGTGTGCTAAAAGCAGCCAAAGATTGTGGCTGCAACAATGACCCAGAAACAAATCCACCACCAATCTCCGTACCCCCACAATATTCAATGATAGGCTTGTATTGAGCTCTCCCCATAAGCCATAGGTATTCATCCACGCTAGATGCCTCACCAGTGGAGCCAAAGCAACTACCATAATCCAACACATTGAGTTGAGCATGAGAACAGAAGATTTGGAAACACTTAACGTAGGATTAATGTAGCTGCTAGTGAAGACCAAACAATCTCAAGGATAATATCCAAGACTTAAAACTCACCGAACAGCCGTCCAATCGTAGCCAGCTGTACAATTTGCAGTTTTCCATGCCCTCACGAGACTTGGGATAAGGCCAAGCATTGTTACTTTAGCATCCTAGGCCACTTGCAGGAGAGTTTCAAATAAGAAAAATTGAATAAGAAAAACAGCACAATGTAATCCTAGAAGATTAAAAGCTGTGATATGTAACTAAACTCCAAGTATTTAATGGGTGAAAATGTTACTATAGTAGTACTGTAGCTCTTTCGCATTAATAACATTAGAGCTTGTTCCACAAGGATAAAATAACACCTCCCAAAACCATATGAGCCTTTGGGTCTCTCAACTCACCACCAATTGGCTACGAATAGTTGAACAAGTGCATGAAGTGCACACATCAATGCTAGGATGCTAAGTTTATGTTGGAAGCTAGGGGCAACCAAAGGGAGCCACACATATTTGTAATGGTCCGCAAACTAGGTCACTTGACAATGATGAACGTAGGGCACAATGAATTCAATAAAAAGGCTTAGATAAATTACACAAAACACTATTGTTGTCATATATGCACAAGTGTAGGTGTGAATATTGGTCAATTAGCACTTTCAAACAACAATTCTGCAGTGCATTTCAAGCACTTCACTATAGTAAATTTTGACAACTTGGACCTCAATAGCAATAACAATGGGAAATGTAATTCTGCAGTGCACTTCATTTCAAGCACCACACCTCAAAAGATATCTTTTCTATTAGCAATTATTGGACCTCTATAGCAATAACAATGGGAAATGTAATTAGACTCACCAAGTCAAAACTAAGAGGCCATACAACAATAAGGACAAGGAGATAGAAAGATAACTAATAAGGATCAAACATTAAAAAGAGGTTGCACCTGTACAAACTTGGCAAAGCCAGAACCAAGGGGAGATCCATTATATAAAGCGATGGAAGCCCCATTCAACAAAGAAGCATAAACTAGCCAAGGACCCATCATCCATCCAAGATTAGTGGGCCAAGCAACAACATCACCTTTGCGGATATCCATGTGGCACCAACCATCTGCAGCAGCTTTTAAAGGAGTAGCAAGGGTCCATGGAATTGCCTTTGGCTCCCCTAGACCATGAAACAATCCAGTTAAGCCTTTAAGTTGGCATCATGTGACCTTTAACCACATCCAACTACATCTCAACATAACAAGTTCTTGTTTTTATTCATATGGTATTTGCTGTTAAGTTGAGTGAAAGGGTCCAATTCTTTGATTGTCTAAGGCTGACTTTGGGATGCCAAGTAGTTGAAAAAGAGAAGTGCTGTTTCACAAATATTACAAAAGAAGTTTCTCATTTCGAATGTGGCATCAATAAATCAAGTCCTTTTGCTATTATCTTTATCAGTGACAACACCGTGGTGTTCTGACCAAAGAAAATCAAGAAGTTCAAATTTTTCCCATCTATTGTTGTGCGTCTGCTGCCAACATTTGTTTATTTTCCCCATTGCTGTTCTCCAAAGGAACCTAAGTAATTCACCACATTTATGAGAATTCATTTCCACTTTTCAAAGTAAAGGAAAGAAGGAAATAAATAAAGAAGAGAGAGATAGGGCCATCATGTTTTATTTTGGGTTTTTTTTTTTTTTTGGGGGAGGGGGGAGGTTGATACAATTGACCAGACCAACATGGTAAGTTATAACTGTTGCATTTGTTACACTTTTTTTTGGCATAAAAAAATGTATAAATCGGAAGAAAAATATGGTAATATTAACTACAGAATAAGGGCATACTGGACAAAAAATTGAAGAATGTGAGTTTCCGAAGATTTTATTTCCTGAATGTAAATAAATATACCTCAATTGTGCAAAAGCACATCTTAAGAAATTAACATTTTTTTCAATTTTGTTTGCACAAAAAATTCTCAGGTTACTAGTCGCTTGGAAATTCTTGAGAAATTGGAAGCCAGCTGAGATTAAAATGCCCAAAAAATTTAAGTTCCTGGACAAAACTTTTCGATATTTCATTTCATGTAGGATGGAAAACAAAATTTATGACAATTGGAAATAGTCATATGGCAAAAAAAATTTTAAGCCTTGGAAATCGCATTCTGCAATTCAAAACGTCCTAGATATCTATATCTGTACTACTAATAAAAGTACCTTAAGTGAAAAATTTTTGATTTACTATTTTACCCTCATTAAAAAATTTAAATATCATACTATCTTTCCATAGTCAAATATCTAAATTATAATTACATCCTTTTGTATTTAAATCTCTAAATTACCATCTAACATCTCTTTTAATTCTTTATTATCTTTGTATAAATATTAATATCTATGAAAAATTTTAATTGACTATGTTACTCTTAAAAAAAATATATGCATCATTATAGTTTTTAATAAAGTGTTAAAAAACTCCATCATATTTTATTACTCTTTTCAAATATAAAGATAACATTATGTATATGTATATATATATATGTATTTTTTTCATCTATATTACTAATAAAGAATAAAACTTTTGCCTTAGCATAAAAAATTATTGATTCTATTTTACTCTTATAAATAATTTTAAATACCACACTATCCTTTCCGTAGTTGAATATCTAAATTACCATCATATATTTATAAGTTTAAATCTCTAAATTATCCCTAACATCTTTTTTAATACTCTATTTACTGTGTATAAATATCAATATTTATGAATTTTTTAATTGGTTACGTTACCTTTAAAAAATATATGCATCACTATAATTTTTAATAAAACGTTCAAAAAATTTTCAAGAACTTCATCAATATAATATTACTCATTTCAAATATAAAAATAGCACTATGCTTACATGTGTATTTTTTTTATCCAAAATTTCAACCACTTTATTTTTAAGATAAAAAATAATTTTTTATGTATTTTTTTAAAATAATTTATGTTAAATCAACATAATTCTTCAATCACTATAGAGTAATATATTATAATTTAGAGTTAATAACACTTTTAATCCCTAAAATATGTATATTTTGACATTTTAGTTTTCATTGTATCAATTTTGTCAATTTGCTTCAAAAAGTATTTAGTTAATGTTTAAATGATTCATACACAGACAGCCTGTTAAGTTTTTGACAAAAGTGATCATGTACTGGTCACGTGATACTGTCTGACGGTATGACACGTGATCACTTCCATTAAAAAACTTAATGGACAGTCTGGTTCATTTAAACAAAAATTGAATATTTTAGGGACAAAAAATTATAGAATAAGATAACTATAAATCACAATTATATGTACAGATTATATAAAAAATCAGAATAATATGTCCATTGATATTAATTATTATGCACAATTAGAAATATTAGGTAGACATAGGTCATGACTCTTCCACTATGTATTAACTATGATTTATAACATCATTTATAACATAGTAATATACTTTTTCACCTTTTCGTATGCTCCATTAAATGATTGTTTGCCGTTAGGGAAACTAAGTAGATAGCGATATCATTTATGTCTCTTAATATTCTTTTGTTTAACATTGTTTTTGAATAAATTCTCTCTCTTAGAAAATGGGACAAAACTCTTTCGACTGCCATACAAACCAGTTGAAAAACCTTTTAGCTTATCTCTCTTGCCATCCATTTTGAAAACCTTTTTATCCTCTCTCTCTCTCTCCCTCCCCCCCCCCTCTCAAATGCCCCTTGGAAATCGAATAAACTACATATATATATATATATATATATATATATATAAAATATTTGTTATTAATATTTTGTATACGAAAATTATTCACGTGCAACGCACGTGGTGCATTGCTAGTAATAAAGAAAACTACAGAAAGAAAGCTTTAATCTCTAATCTACCTGTAGTGCCAGAAGAGAAAAGGATATTTGTGAAAGCTTCAACCGGTTGTTCTACTGCAACAAACTCAATGTCTCTGCAATATATAACATGAAAGATGGACAACATAGCAGCAGCATCAGAGCTTTGCTGCTAATAACTGTTTTATACTAAAGCATTGACAGATTTGAGGCTAAATAGATCAAATGCAACTGAAATTAAATATTGTTCTTGTTCATAGACATGAATGGCAATGACATCACTGAACTTATCTTACACTTTGTTATATTTACTGGATATCATATTTTACGATCTACTTGCCTCACATATAAAATATCCCATCCCTACACATTACACATATTCATTAGTTATTTAGGTAAACCAGTTCTATAGGTTTCACTCATCCTCTGCTATCAAGGGGATCCAACGCACATGATATACATCACAACAACTAGAAAATCCCTTTTGCCTTGCTGTGATCACTTTGAGGAAAGAAACAGGAGAATATCTGATGGTCAAATAGCAAGTTTTAGAAAAAGTTTGGCCTCTATATAGTTTTTTATTTTCCCTCTTTTAGTTAACTTTTGGACTTCTTTTTTTCCTTTTATTGATTGTATTGAGAGGGAGGAAGGGATTTTAGGGCTTTAGGTGTTATAATGTAATAATTTTATGTTTGATTTGCCGCTTAAAGAAGGGGAAAAAGCTTTAGATTTCATAACATGAGGAAAAATAAGCATTCAGTTGCTGCAGACTAGTACTATAAAGAGCAATATACATGTTAACGCCAAGACTCTATTGAAGGCTCAAATAAGCCGAAGACATCATTCCTTTTCTGCCCTGATAGACAGAATGTAAGTGAAAAAAAGATTTAAGCTTCTCTACTCAGAATTGTATTCCATTGCCGAACTGTAGCAGTGAACTGAAAAGAAAAAGCAGGAAGCACCAATTCAGGTAGGATTCAAATCTTCTAACCCTGCTGTGAGCAGAATATTNGTGCCAGAAGAGAAAAGGATATTTGTGAAAGCTTCAACCGGTTGTTCTACTGCAACAAACTCAATGTCTCTGCAATATATAACATGAAAGATGGACAACATAGCAGCAGCATCAGAGCTTTGCTGCTAATAACTGTTTTATACTAAAGCATTGACAGATTTGAGGCTAAATAGATCAAATGCAACTGAAATTAAATATTGTTCTTGTTCATAGACATGAATGGCAATGACATCACTGAACTTATCTTACACTTTGTTATATTTACTGGATATCATATTTTACGATCTACTTGCCTCACATATAAAATATCCCATCCCTACACATTACACATATTCATTAGTTATTTAGGTAAACCAGTTCTATAGGTTTCACTCATCCTCTGCTATCAAGGGGATCCAACGCACATGATATACATCACAACAACTAGAAAATCCCTTTTGCCTTGCTGTGATCACTTTGAGGAAAGAAACAGGAGAATATCTGATGGTCAAATAGCAAGTTTTAGAAAAAGTTTGGCCTCTATATAGTTTTTTATTTTCCCTCTTTTAGTTAACTTTTGGACTTCTTTTTTTCCTTTTATTGATTGTATTGAGAGGGAGGAAGGGATTTTAGGGCTTTAGGTGTTATAATGTAATAATTTTATGTTTGATTTGCCGCTTAAAGAAGGGGAAAAAGCTTTAGATTTCATAACATGAGGAAAAATAAGCATTCAGTTGCTGCAGACTAGTACTATAAAGAGCAATATACATGTTAACGCCAAGACTCTATTGAAGGCTCAAATAAGCCGAAGACATCATTCCTTTTCTGCCCTGATAGACAGAATGTAAGTGAAAAAAAGATTTAAGCTTCTCTACTCAGAATTGTATTCCATTGCCGAACTGTAGCAGTGAACTGAAAAGAAAAAGCAGGAAGCACCAATTCAGGTAGGATTCAAATCTTCTAACCCTGCTGTGAGCAGAATATTTATGTGTCAACACATAAGTCTGCCAAGAAAATTTCAAGTCGTCTTTTTTTTTTTTCAATGGAAATGTCTTCTTATAGTTTTGGAAAAAAGGGCAGCCTTTAAAGATACTAAAGAGTCGCTGCCTTGGGATTAAATGAATCTCCAAATAACATGAGTAGATACTCGTAGCTGAAACCAGGCACCCAAGAAACATCCTTTTTCACTTCTTACAATAAAAAAACACAGCTATGCCTTAGCTACACTGTTATATGTCTATGTAAAGCAATTATACCATGTAGTAGAGAATATGCTATATCCAATCCAATCCCCAATTGAAACCTGAATAAATTTATATAAAAAAATCTAAAACGAAACTGAATACCAAAATCAACCAGACAGGTATGAGTGCATACTTGGAATCTTTGACCCTCTCCAGAAAATCATGCCAAGAAATGTCACCATCACGCAATTTTATGCTAAAACTGGAGCCTCTGGTAGGAATAACGATTGCCATAGGTGATTGAGCATCAACAACTCTACTGCAGATATGGACACCTATGTGTGAGGAATCTCTCCATAATAAACAGAAACAAAAGAGATCTAATGAGAAAATAGGAATCACCTGTACAAGGGTAGTCTTCTGTTGCCCCGAACAATGAGATCCTGGGAAAGGTGGTTTAATAGATGAGAAAATTAGACAAGAAAAATTAAAAAAAGAGGATGACTAACCAAAAGCAAAAGCCAGATCCACAACTTACACTGAACCAAAAAATGAAGAAATAATGAAGATGAAATTCGGTTTCAATTCCAAACAAATTACAATGAAGGATGACAATTACACAAGGAATTGTCAGCTTGAATCGCTGAACACCCCAACATTAGTACTTAATATGTTTTTTCCTCTAGCTTGGGCCTCGAATTAAATCTCAAACTTCACTCGTGCATAAACCACCAGTAACCTATTCTAGATAATAGTCATGCTATCATAATTTATCTTTTGCTGATGCAAGGGATTCAAAAATCAGCATAACATAGAATGGTAGACCTACCTACTTCTCAACCAAAGCCATTGTAGCACAGTAGGAGAGTGATGGTGTGACATTTTAGTGGAAAGGAAGGGGTCAGGGGTTGATTTTATTGGTTTTAATCATAAAAAAATAAGTTGCAAATGTACATCTAATTAGTCCATCTATTCAGGGGAGGACACAAAATCTTTGGTCAACTGGGTGCTGCAAAGAAATCCTTTTGGTTTCCTCCCTTGGACTTTCATATAACTCCAAGAAATGGCTTACTTTGACTGTGACAATCAACATACAGTTTGTTAATAGGTTCCCCTTTCATTGTGTGTGTCTTTCTTGATGCAAGAACCACAAGTGTAACTACAATAAATTTGCTGGAGAGCAGTATGAAAAATTAGAAGGGTTAATTTGATCATTTAATTGACGAAAGCCCATTCTAGCTTGTACCATTGTATTTCAATAAATCATACACCTTCACTAAAAACTCCCAAATAGCTTCAGTTAATACCCTTGACAAGTACAAATGGAATTCATGCAAATATTAGAAATGTAAAATATGATCTTATATGGTCCTCGAAGGGATAAAAAGGATAGACCTGAGTAAAAATTGCTTTTGTTTTCGAAATTATGAGGCGAGTTGATATTTCACTTGGAGCGAAACTATCCGCAATGGACACAACTACATAGCCAGCAAGAACAATAGCGAGGTAGATCACCACAGAATTGATATCCATAGGCATATTTATGGCAATTGCAGACCCTTTCTCCAACCCCAGTGCTTCCACTGCATAAGCAACTAGCCTGCAAATAAAGTTTCAACAACATTCTACATTACTAATCCATAGAGTTGGACAAATGTTTGAGGAACATCAAGGCAAGAACATCACAGAAAACAGATACTTTTCATTTATGAAAATATCACCGTGCCATAAGTTCCAATGTTTCCCGAACACAAAAGTCATGAAGCATCCTAGCAAATACTCATTGACATACTTTACTTCCCTATGCAAGAAACCATGACGTCTGTGAACAACTTCAAGGATTATTGACTCACCAACTTGAGGAGCAAACACAAATATGGCTTAATAATTGTTAAAATTGTAATGCAATTTTTCGAAGAGAAGAAATGGAGGTTTACCTCATCCTCGCAAGAAATCAATTAAAAAACACAAAGCTCCGCAGATAAACTAGTCAATTCATATTCATCAATCCAATTCAAATAATTGGGATTGCACCATTATTTATAGAACAAGTGTCGTACCCAAATAAAAAGTACTCTCTAGCTAAAACTATATTTAAATCTACTAATGAGATGATTATTAGCTAACCAAATAATCTAATAATAAATATAAATAAATAAAATTCTAATATTCAATTTTATGTCTATCCAATCCCTTTACAATCCAATCAACTCTCTCGGTTAAAACAAACTCTTCTCTGAAGAGTTGTAAAGATAGAAGAACTCCAAGAGATTTGAAGAAGCTTGCATTCCAACAAAATAGTCATGTAGATCCCCAAAGTAGAAAACAATCAGTTGATGTGTTACATTCTTCACAGTCGTGTCCATAGACACTGATATAGGTGAAGGAAGCATTTAATCCAGTGGAGACAAATTCGCAATTCCATTTGTAGTGGCACCCTTTGAAACTCCTTTAACTTCATCTTTAGGATCACCCTTTGAAAGGGGTTTATCAAAAACAATTGATGTATGCTGAGTAGGAGAAATTTTGGGCTCATCAACATTAGATAATTTCAACTCATCATTCAGTTGAACTAAATGTGATGGTGGAGCTTGGGGTTGAACTAGTGGGCTATCCTCAACTACTTGTTGATTGAGAATTGAAAAGACAAAAACTAAAATCTTCACTTGTCTTAGTTTTACAGACTGTAGCTAGCACAAGTTATCTTAGTAAATCGATGGATGCTTGAATTGTACCTAGCCTTTTATTCAAAGCTTCTTGTGCATCAACACGTTCTTAGAATAAAACTAGGACTTTGGTATTGTGTAATTTCAGTGGTGTTGGGTCTGAACTTTTCGTGGGTTTGGGTCCTGTTGGGCTGATTAATATAGAATATGGTTGATTTTTATTTGAAAAATTTGGAGGTCGGTCCTCCTTTGCGAACTTATTTGGAGATAAGTCCATTAAAAAAATTTGTTTAATATTAAGTCCATTTTGATCTTTATTGTCCAAAATATCCCTAGTAGTTATGTTTAATTACAAAAATTTTGAAAACTAACAACTTCTAAATTTTAAGAGTTTGACTAACATTAAATTTTTTTTTCTCTCTCATATCTATATCCATATATAGAATATGACTATTTATTTCTCTCTCATATATATATACACACACACACATATAGTAACATTAAAAAAAATAGTAACATTTAAACAAAAAAAATAATACCATTCAAACACAAAAAATAGTATCATTTAAATACAAAAAAAGTAGTAACATTTAAAAAAAAATAAATAATATTCAAAACAAAAAAAATAATAACATTAAGTATTAATATTAGAAAAAATAACAGTAGCAACATGCTTAACAAAAACAGTAATACGAACAGTAACATACTCACAAAAACAGTAACATGGACAATAATATGGTAAAAAATTATATATATATATATATATAGAAAGAGAGTATCAATTGTTCTTTGAATTTGAATTTCAAATATATGTAAAAAAATTTATTGGCATATCTTCATTGATAGTGAATTAAGGAATAATAATTCTCAAATTAGGAAACTAATTTAAAGTTACTTTTAAAAAAGGGTATTTTAGAGTTTCAAAAAAATAGTAGACTTAACTACTTATTAGTAAGATTAAAAACGGACTTATCCCTAAATAAGTTTATTTGACGGACTAAACTCATTATAAGTCCTTTAAGGAAGACTAAGCCCTAATTTTCACTTTTTATTTTTTCCTTGGGCCAACTATTGTTGAGTTGTATTTAAATGGGTTTGGGTTAGTTGGTCAGAATGTCAAAACCAATCCCCAGTTTTTTTATTTTGATGTCGACAAACTTGCACAAGAAACAATGATGGCAAGTGTCGAAGTGTGGACATTGATGGCAGCAACAACACAAAACTAACTTTAACAGGAGCCAAAGAATGGGAAAGTAAAAGAAAGACCAATGGATCAGAGTTTTGATTTGATACTAATTGCTGCGGAAAGGAAAGGAAAGAAATCAGAGAATAAAAAAAGAAGAGAAGAAAGGGAGGTTTACCTCATCCTCACAAGGAATCGGTTAAGAAACATAAAACTCTACAAAGAAACTAATCAATTCATATTCATCAATTTAATTCAAAATAATTGGGATTACACCATTATTTATATGACAAGTGTAATACTCAAATAAAAAGTACTCTCTAGCTAAACCTCTATCTAAATCTCCTAATGAGATGATTATTAGTTAATCTAATAATAAATAAAATTCTAATCTTTAATATTATGTCTACCCAATCATTTTACGGTCCCTATCATTAGGTCTCCTAATGAGATGATTATTAGCTAATCTAATAATAAATAAAACTAAATAAAATTCTAATCTTCAATTTTATGTCTACCCAATCATTTTACGGTCCCTGTCATTAGGTCTCTCTAAAAACTTCGAAGAAGCAGTCAAATCACCATTAGTAATGACATGCCATCTGAAAGGGACTCTGACTGTTATTGTCTATCAGAAAATGACAATTCATATTATGCACAACATATGCTATGAATATGCCGATATTGATATTAAAATTTGAAGGCTTTACAAGATAATCCGACTGCAGGGATTGGAGGGGAAGGATTTAACTTGAGAGGATGTTATTAAATTCTAACAACTGATGATACACAGATTTTCTCACCTATCTCATCCAATCATGGGCAAAAGCACCCCTGTTTTCAAGTTCTTATGAGGTTTAAAATGTCCACCAAATCCTATTTTGCTGAGCAAATCAGCTAGCGTATAGCAAACCAAGTATACATCCCCAAGCAAGTCTGCAGTTGCACCTCTAATTATAAGAAAATATCCTGAAAACACTGCTTCATCATACCCAATATATGATGTAAGACGTTTATGTCTGATTTATAATTAATTTGAAAACAGCTTAACATGCAAAAATTACCAAACAAAAATGAATAATCTTTTTTGGATATGACAGGTATTGACCTAGGATGGTTATGCATTGTACAATAATAACCATTTCAGTGATCCATGGGAACACATCCAACTAGCTTTCTCTCTGGAATCACCTCCTGCGAGGAGGATGGGTCCATTGGACCCATGAACTTGGACAAATTCTGAGAAATTTTGTGATTTTTTACTTTTATGTACAGTGTGACTCATTATTTACTGTTGGATGCTTTGGTCAGAGATACAGTCCCAACATACATTTAATGTGGTGGTTAGAGAGATGAGATTTTCATCCTCTAACGATTTTTTGGATCACTTCAACTTTCATTCCTTCCTAAAAGATAAGGCACAAAGTTTATGGCAATGAATACTGGATATGTGCCAAGGAAGCTTCATTTCCTTGAATTTCATTCTTTTTCAATCCAATGATGCTGTTTCAAAACGTTATCTATAGCTCATTCTGGTGAGGTTATGCATTAGAAATTAGTATCATAATCCACACAAAGTATACTCCTAAACCGAAAATGTTACATTCAAAGCTCAGTCATCTCGGAAGTTACATCGTAGAAGATACCACTAGACCTTGTTTTTCTATTTTCTCATTCAAATTTAAGGTTGTCCTGCTGATATTAGTCTCCCTTTGTCTGCTTGGATTTAATTGACAGTACCTTCAATAATGCAAGAGCTCAAGCTAGGTGTAAATACAATAATGCCTATTAGATTTTTAAAAAAAAATTCAATCACAATTTTAAGAGTTATCTCCTCAAACCGGTGATTTTTTCTCTATGTTCATCATAGTTGTTACACTGCTTGAGAAAAAAAATGGTAGCATGCAGTACCAATATTATGGTCTTCTCTACAAGATTAGTGCCATCTGTTTTCCTCCAGATGAAAAACCCTAGTCTGCCCCTCAGATCACTTGCAACAATCTCGGAGGAAAAAAAATTAGAGACGAGAAAAAGAATAATCCCACCCAATTATGCACACCAAGGTGCATCCATAGAAAATCAAGTTTTCTACTGAGAAACATATGATTAAATGATAAACACAGTGAGGCTTTCAGATCAATGGTTGAGAACAACACTCCACTGTGGTGAGAATTGAGTTTGAATAAACTTGTTTTGGATAAGTAGAACATTATACCTAGCAACCTCAGGACCATGAAGAAAATTTAAGGTAAAAACCGTAAAAAAGGAACTAGCTAGCTGTATGCAGAACACCGACTACTGATCATCTACAGCATACTGGAAACCACTGCATTAAGTTATTATTAAGGAAACATGCTACAGATTGTAGTCTAAGATTGAATAACACGGCAACCAAGTATCATACATGGATATTGAAACATTCATGGTAAGACTGACAATCGGATAAAGAAGCATACCACACTGCTGAGCGCAATTCCTTAAGGGTCATCTTGTTGATGGGCATTTCATCATCTCCTTCATCACGCGATATAACCATTATATCATCCAAAGTCCTCTTGCTATTCAAACTCAGACAATTCTTTGCCGGATTCAAACATGCTCCAGGAAGCCATTGACCTCCTGGGTGAGAAGGATCCTCACGTAAAATACATTCAGGAGACACTGAAAACGATATATTCATTTCATCTAATATAGTGGTCCAATAAACCTAACAACAAGAAATAGGAAAAATAAAAAGTATTAACAATAGTGGTTCCAATGGGAATAAAGTGGAAAAGCTTCGCGAACAATGCAACCAGGAAAAAAAAAACAGTTGTAGTACCTCAGGAGTTGAGACTGAAAAATCCTGAAACTCAGAAAAGCTTGAAATGGGATCCTTATATTTAGAACCCAAAAACTCTTTTCCACGCCTCCCTAATAGCTGGCCAACGTTGGTTGAGTTTGCAAGCTCCCTACCCATTGAAAAAATGCACTTTGAATATTAAGAAATCAACTGGGACAATAGATCATTGAAGGTACACAAAATTTATATAGCTTATCAAATATTCAATTACTTATATTTTCATTTTATCGAATTCTACAAAACCACCTTTGCTAGTTGACCAATTATGTACTACATGGTGATGAGAATCAAATATCTTTTTTCAATTGGTTTGATATTAATCTACATATTTTTGAAAACTCTAGCAAAATAGTATTTCTTAATAATATCTAACTCAATGAAAGAATTGACTGCATTTTTAAAGGGTTGTGAGAGAGTACAGAAATTTCGGATCAGCAGCAAAAACCAAGTTTTATTGAGGGAATTGGCCATTGCAATGGTAAAAGTGTCACCAATAATAACACCTCTCCCAACACCCTATATTAAGGACCAGCCTTAATCACCCATCCAAAAAAAATTAAACTTTGTCCTTTTATTTCAACTTAATTTGTTTCTTTTTTACCTCATTACAAGTTCCAACACACATAAAAAATTGATATATGATATATATTCTCGACGTGAACAAAAAACACACACAAACAAGGAGATTGTTATTTTCTTCAATTTACTTGTTCTGTAATGATCACTGGTACTTGTTTAGATTGAACTTGTAATTCAACCATCCACAATCCCTGGTGGGTTGCTGAGAAAACACAAGAAACACAAACAAAATGAGAATTCAGCAATTGTGGTGTTCATAGCAGAGCTTACGGATCGGGCAACCATGCAGGCGGGTCGGGTCCGAAGTCTTTGTAACACCCATAGTACATCATCTGGTGGAGAGAGAAAGGAAGTTCCGGGTTGAGGAGGTGCTTCGAGACGTGTTGCCATGTCTCCGGAGTGGCAGCCCCGTAATTGCCAACGATTTCGGTGAGTTTTTGGTAAAATTGTTCGGCGGCTTTGGAGGGTATTCCCAGAGCAGCGATGTCGGAGGAGGAAAGACAGTCTAAAGCTTTGTAAGCCATTGTTTCTCTAAGATAAAGTGATTATTTACATATAGAACTGATCATCCATTGAAGAAAAGTAGAGTTTGGGAGTAATTTTGGGGGGAATGATTGATATTTTATCAATCAAGCGATAAGTGTTGAGGCTTCGGCTCGTTGGCCTGATTCAAATTTTGTCGTTCTTTTATCTTATAATAGTGTTTGATTAAATAAAAAAATATTGAAAAATTTATATCTATATATATATATATATACACTACTTATAAATATTAATATTTTACAAAAAAACTTTTAATTTTTTATTTTATTCATAATTATTATAATAAAGTCAATTATATCTATCTTTATACTTTTATCTAATTTATGTTTGTTACACTTATTTGACTTTTATTATATTTCATTTTTTGTTATGCAATAATATAATAATAGTATATACAATCTAATCAATTTATTTAACAAAATAAAAATTAATAATTCTATAATATAATTAAATGTGCAAATGCCTAAAGGCTAAAATTGTTGGAGAAATATCTAAATAAATAACAAATTATGTATTCAAAATCTTATACAATAAATCATTAATTAATGTATGAATTAATTATTTGACACCTAAATTTATTATTTAATTTAGTTACATATACAATTCATATTTTCTACAAAAATAATATTATGTAAATTTATTTATATGCAACGCACGTCGTGCATTGCTTAGTTTTATTAGAAAAATAATAAAATTTAAAAGATTTAATACATGATATATTTTTATTAAAAAAATATATATATATGATATCAAAAAAGTGATATTTTGGTATCATAATAAAATTAATGTTTTTTTAACTTATTTTTTAAAATAAAAAGACAATTGATCAAAATAAAATTTTATTTAATTGCTATTTACAAAAGTGATCTAGATTCGAGATTTGTCGTTTCAAGGCCAATTCAAAATTTTGGGGCCTACCCTAAATAATAAAGTTGATTTGTATTGAATTGTGACTTAATATATTGATTTTTTTGGGGTTAATTTCACTTTGTATCCCCGAAAGATATTTTAATTCTCAATTTATACCCTTAAACATTAAAAAGTTTAATTTTATACCCTCAATGTTATAAATTGGTAACAATATGGGCCAGACTCGAACTGTTGTTCAGTTTTCTGCTGTAAATTAAAGCACGTAAATTACAAATACTTTCGACTATGGACTTATGTATAAATTCACATATTATTAACGTCTTATGTTAGTTACACATGGTAGAGTTAACTTCTATCTAATTAATGAAATCTTATTTTCGATACAAAAAAACGATATTAAATTGATCGCATGCGAAGATCTACAATAATGGGCATATGTCATTCTCACATCTTTAAGAGGTTTTCACTTCATCAAAAAAAAAAAAAAAAAACAAAAGAGTTGATCTCACTTTACACCTTAAAAGATGTTTTGATTCTCAATTTATATTCTTAAATATTAAAAATTTTAATTTATACCCTCAATATTATAAATTAGTAACAGTAATAATGCATGCATAGCAGATACCACTCACAACTGTACTCAACACCAATAACAAACTGTCAATGTGTATTTTCAGGTCAACCATTTAAACAGATTTTGTAGATGAAATTTTCTCTTCTGTTATCTCTGTCTGTTTGCCACTTTTTCTCTGTCATCCTGTCGCTCTTTAACTCTACTCCTATTGTTTTTTTTTTTTTTGGTTATCTCATCAACAGGAGATTCAAATTTCCAATCATCTCCCCCCTATTTTTTGAAATTTTGGATTACCACTATAAATAAGTGGGCAAATATTTATATAATAACACACTTATACTTCGTTTGATAAGAAAGATAAAAAGTAGGAAGGATAGAAGTAAGAGAGATACATTTTCTATCTTTTAAGGAAGAAAATTAGGAATAATACAATTTTCTTCTTTTGTGTTTGGTTCGATGGATAAAAAATAAAAATGACTAAATTTTTTTTTTTTTTTGGTGCTGGCTAAAATTAGGAGTGACAATTGAGTCGTGTCGTGCCAGATTCGTGTTAAGTCATTAGGGGTTTGTGTTGAAAATTAGTCAAACCTAACTCAACTCATTTAACTTATTATGTCGTGTCGAGTTACGAGTTGACCTGTTTATTTTTGTGTCGTATTCATGTTTGTATTTGTGTTAACCCACATAAACTTTGAATAAAAAATTTAACGCTAATATTCTATTTTTACTTAATTGAATATATGTTAATATTTTTTCTACAAACTAAAAATTAACCTAAATAAATAAAATAATAATAAGTAAAAATATCTCTTTTATATAATAATTATGGCAGTGCTTAATAAATAGTTACAAATAATTAACATTTTATGTCTATAATATTAGTTAAACATGTTAGTTTCATGTTAATTTCGTGTTACCATACAAATGAGAAAACAGAGAAAGTGTTTATTTTTAAATAAATGGGTTGATGATATCAATTTTGAGTTTGACCGGTTGAAGTGAATATGAGCATTTTATATTTCTTATTTGCGTGTCAGGTTATTTTCAAGTTCATGTCGAGTTATAATCAAGTTTTTGTCATAAAATTTGTGTCGAGTTCGAATCATTTCGTCATGTTGAGTCGAAAAACTTTCACCCCTAGTTAAGATAGAAAAAATATTTTTTTATTTTTATTTTTTATTTTTAAAATTATATTATATATATATGCAAATTTTGACATTATATTTTTATATGAAATTAATGTATACATAATATATATATAAAAGTAGAACAAAGTTTGAATCCAAGAAAGAAAGAGTAGGCCTGATCGTTTTGAGATAAAACATAAACAAATCCAACGAACAACGTAATTCCAACATTAAAAACGGTTCAAATCATTTCAAAAATTTTGATCTAACAGTCTACAGTGAGTACCGAATTTTTTTTTCCCGCCCAACAATATTTGTTGACTTACGTTTCTCTTTCTCTCCCAATCTCTCACGCCTCATATCTCCCCCAATTTCATCTCATTACAACTCTAGACTCATGTTGCTCATGAACCTCTCTCTCTCACTCATATGATATCTCTCTCCCTCCCTCAATCTCCTCTTTGAGTCACGTCTCTTCTTTTCTTTCTCTCTCTCTCTCCCTCTGATTGCAACAATGGTTGTTTTACAACAAACTCCAATCACATTTCAATCCCGATCACCACCATCAACCCAAATTATAGCCAAAAGAACAACAAACCTCTCATGTTCTGGAGGTTTCAAGTCAGTCAAACTTCCAAAAATCATCGTCAAATTCAGCTGGAAGAGCACCCCGTCATAGTGCCAGAATGGTCGACTCCGTCGCAGGAAGCTACACCAACGCCTTTGCTGAGGTGGCGAATTCCAATGGAACCCTAGAAGCCACCTCGGCCGACATCGAAAAGGTGGAGAAATTCTTCTCTGACCCTGAAGTCTTCTACTTCTTTTCAAATCCCACTATCAACATGGCCAAAAACGTGAGGTCCTCGATGAATTGAGACATGCTATTTGCAATTAGCATTAGTTATCAATTTCAAGCTTCTTGGATTGTTTTAATTTCAAGCTTCTTGGATTTTTTTTCCCCCAATTTGATGTTAGCAATTATACAATTTTGTTATGACAATTTCTATATTATATTGCATTGAACCTTCACACCATAATGTCTTTTTTTTCCTGGTAAGTAATTGAATTTCACTTTTGGGAAATTGATTGGATTGGCATTGCCCTCTGTGTTCAATTATAATTCCCCGCACCCTTGGAGTTGATCTCCTTTGGATGCTAGGGGATGGGTGTGATGGTCCTCAAATAGCTTGCTATTGAGCACTAATTCCATTAGGTTAGTATTAGCATTAGTTATTACTTATTCTGTTCCTAAATATTTGTCGTTTTACACAAATTTTTTTGTTCCATAATATTTGTCGTTTAATGAAGCCAAAACATAATTAATATTTTTTCTTTCAAATTTACCCTTAACTTTTCAATGCATTAGATTAGGTGGAGGCTAAGTGCCTTTTATATTTCTTTCCTTGCCAATACGTATTGAATAAGAATATTTTAGTCTTGTGCAATTATTTTTTACTCATATTAATAGTATCTTTAATTCCTGTGCAAAAACTTTAAACGACAGATATTTAGGAACGAATGAAGTAATTATTTGTTATTGAGCACAATTTACAGTTCAAATTGAGACATGCTATTTGCTATTAGCATTAGTTATCAATTTCTATTTTCATATTATGCGTTATTAGTATTTGTTGTCATGTGTTACAATTTTTTTCTTTTGCTTGGACTTGGTGTTTCAAGTTTGTTCAATTTTATGTTGTTTGATGTTGAGGGTTAGTTAAGATGACTGAGTTTTGTATATGATCACAAAGTGTTTGTTGTTTTGCATCAAAGAAAAAAAGTTTTACTAAATGACTATCTCTATAATTTTCTTTTCTGGAATGGGTTGAATTCTTGAATGTTTGAATAGGGTGGAACTTAGTAACTTGATTGGATATAGTTCCATTTTGGTTAGATACGTTATGTGAGTTTCTTTGTCCTTATAGCCAACTATTGGTTGCTTATCAATTATTCATTTGTCTTAAATGTCTAATATATTTATGTTATCTTTCTTATATGTGTTTGTGGATTTTGCAGCTTCATGGTGTTGATCGTGTCACTCCATGTCTCCAATTCTAGCTGGGTTTGCTCACACTTTGTCTGATGTAATTTTCCTCAAGATAGATGTGGATGTGGCTGAAATGAAAGTAAGTAAAATGTAGCTCTTTTTCAATATTAATTTAAAGCCAATATGATACATATAGCATATTGGTTGAGAGTTTGCAATAGAGTGTTAATTATACTTAGTAGCCTTAGTATTCTTGAATGTTTATTATAATGTTGAATGGAAACGTAGTATAATGCTGAAAATAAATTTATTATAATGTAGAAAATAAATTTATTATAAAACTTAGTATAGTGTTTATTAATGTTGAAAATAAATTTGTCTCTTTTTGAATGTGAATAGGGTGGAACAAAAGTTAATATGATCACCATGTTTGAATAGGGTGTATCTAAGAGACAAATTTGAACTTGGAGTCATTTTTACACTTTGCCCTTCATATGATTTTCTTTTGCTCTCTCTACATTCTTGCTTCATTTATACTAATTTTTAGTATAATTTTTTGGTGATGCATTGAGCACTGTTTGCTTTAAAAGTATAGTTTAATTTGTCTCTTTGTTTGGTAAATCATAATGTCGTATTATTTTGATGATGTTGGAATTTTTAGGGTTGGTTAACTTTTGTTCGTGAGTTTCGACACTTGGGCAATTGTTGGTTGTAAGGGTAATTGCTTTCCAAATTTTGTCCATTGCATTATATTATTGAACGAATTTTTTTTTAAATTTACTTGATATGTATATTTTTTTCTTAGTTTGTAAATTTGATTTGGTTCTATTACTATTTTTTCCCCTGATGTATTTGTATATGTGTTGTTGCTTTGTAGAATTTTTTGTTCATTTTTTATGAGTAATGCAGTGCCTTCAGGCATGAGTAATTACTATTATATGTATATATCAAAAGATATATAGACAAATAAGATACAACTCAACACAAATAATTAATTTTTTATCCACTTTCTTTCCGATTTTAGAGGGATTGATTTTGTGTGTTGGAAGGAAAGTTAATTCATCCACTTTTTCATCCTTCTTATTTTCCTTCTTTACTAAACATGATGTTTTATTTACCCCTCAAACTTTCCATCATTTTATTTTTCCATCATTCCAAACAGAGTATTAGCAATTTAAATTTTTATCCTCTACATATTTTTTCCATCAAAAATATCATATCGCTCATTTTTATCATATGTTTAATCATTAAATATTTAATTAATTTGTAGATTAACATAATTTTTATTTTAGACATTATCCATATATGATAATGTACACAAGTGGAATAAATTTTATTGATAATTTTAAGAAAATAATGGATAAAAATAAATTTTAAATGAAAGAAAAAAATTATAATTTAATATAATGAGATCGATTTTTTTGGTATTCGAATTTTATGTTTCATCATGGCTAAAGGCACGAGTTATGCCTAGTATTCAAATATTTCAGCATCATTTTTACAGCTCCTCTCCATTGAATATTTTTTCTTTCTTTCTGTTGGAGCTCTCTAGTTCATGCCTAGATCTATATGTGGTTGTGTTTTTTTTTTTTTTGTTTTATTCCAAACAAAAAAAAATCATATACATGGTTGTCGAAAATTTGAGTTGGAACACCTTCAAAGCTTTTATGGTGTGAACGAGGAGAACCTCTTTTTTTTTTTGTTCGTAGCTATGAAATGAGTAGGAGCTTGTTTTTGGTTTCATCTGAAAGAGTTGTTGGATACTTCGATTTCATGAGCTAAACTTAAATTGATCTGGCATTGATATTTTCTACGTTGATTTGGTATTGATTAGGACTTGTATAAATACTATTTCCCAGCTTAAAAAGAATATGAGCTTGGCAGTTAGGGATGACAATGGATAGGGTAAAAATAGGTATTCATCCAAACTCGCTTCCTTTGGACAGAGGATGGACCATATGTATTGGACGGTAGACGTATACGGAGATACCCGTATAAATCTGTGCGGAGATAAAGACAGAGATGGACTGACACTTAACCCCACCCTACCCCGCCCTGCTTCGCTTTACCCGTTATTATTATTATTATATATATATGTACATGTTGTTGTGAATACAAATCTACATATATTTAATGATTTTTTCTTTTGAAAAATTGTTTTATTTTTTGACTTTATTTATTTACTTTTTCATGTTTTTGGCTTGTGAAAGTGAAAATCTTTGTGTTTTTGTATATTTTTATGTTGGTTTATGTTATGTTACATTATGTTGTATTGCATTATATTGTGTTAGATTTACATGGGAGACAATATTTTAATTATATTATGTTGTAAATGACAAATTTTTAATTATGTTATGATATTTTATAATTTTGTTGAATTATTTTAAAATGTTAAATTTATTTAGAATTTTAGATTATATTGACTTGGGCTTGGGTTAGGACGAGTAAGGTGGACAGGGGCAGGGGTGGGGTCGGGAGTGAAGGCGGGGGACAGGGCGGGGCCGAAAATTACAAATTTACTCGTGGACGGGGATAAGGACGAAAAATACACCCCTTAACAAGGATAGATAGGGATGAACAAAGTTTTTTTAAACAGGTACGAGAATAGAGATTACAACCCCCGCCCTGCCCCCGCTTCGATCCACTGTCATCCCTATCGACGGTCACGCTTAATGTAGAACCTTTCAATCTTCTCTTGACTAGGACTTGTAAATTCTCTAAACCCCTCTCTTGAATGCACAAAACTACGTCGAATAAGTTCGCATGTGCTTTTTTAAAAACCCTTTTGATCTTATCGGATTCTGAAACCTTTGTTTATATACATATTCATTATACATACTAAACGCTTCTTTTTCACTACATGTAATCATGCCAACTTTCAAATCAATTTGATGCTACTTAAAACTCCATCATTTGTATCAATATTGTTGTAAGCATAAATTTCTTCCTTGCCATCATCATCACCACTTTCTTTCTACACATGAACAAAGATAATACATGACAACATTTCAGTGATGCAAACAAAAAAAATATAAATATGCATAATGTCGTAGCCATCATCATCACTGATACTATGCCCGCCAACTTACGAGAAAACCAATGATTAGAAAATCAAATTAAAACCTAAATAAGTCTAAATAAAATTTAAATTACACATACCTATTTTAAAATAATGTATTTTTGGGAACACACATAAACAATTAACATGAATTCAGTCATGCATCCATGTGCACTCATAAACATAATAAGTAAGGATACTACATGCCAACCCACATGATCTAGCACACATATAATAAGGGTTATCCAGAATACAACATGCCAGCTAAGCTTTCTTGTTGTATTTATTTTTTATTTAGTTTGTGATAATTAGTAATAAATATTATTGCATTGGTTTTAGAATCCCAACCCACATGGTATTATTGCAATTTTCACGTGTAAAGTCAATTCAGAAAGATGACTGAGTATTGATGTTTATCTACAAGGTAATTGATTCATCCATCTATCATAAATTTGCTTATACTTCAACGACAAAAGTGGTGTAGGATGTTCTGATCGTACTTTGGCTATTACCAACCAATAGCGAGGGTGTGAAAGATTTCCATGTTCAGACCTCATAGGTTCGAATATGTTGTTACGACTATTTTGAAGTCGAAAGACCTCAATTTACTAACAAAAGATGAATTGATGGGTTATTGCAAGGCCATAAATAAAGATTGAATAGAGAGACAAATATTTAAAAAATTATTTGTCAGAATAAAAACTTATTTAATTTTTAAGTCATAAAAGCGCTCGAAATTAGGGTCTGTCTTTTTAAGACCAATTCAATTTTTTTGGGATCACAATGAATTTGATTTTATTAAATTGTGAATTAA